TTGACCTTGCCATCGCCAACATGGGCACGACCCTCCACCTCTCGCTGAGGCATATCGCCCAGAGAGTGTTGGTCTGCTCCATTGACGATGGCCCCCATGTGTTCTCGTCTTGGTCCGGCCCATCTGCGGATGGGGACGACACCACGGCGGCGACGGCCAGCCAAGGTCACACAACGGCGGCGACGGCACGCATCTGGCCATCTGGAGAGGAAAGACGTCGATCCGATCGAGTTCCCAAAATTTTCTATGCGAAAAGACCACCTTACCCTTCCACCCGTGCGGTACCACCCAAACGACTAAGCGATACCGGGTGGTACCGATCAATTTCAGCCGTTGGATCCAATTCATCTGATGGTTAGCATTTGGTACCACCAAAGCCTGCTGGACAGTAAAAAAACTCTTCCAGAAATCCAACTAAAACAAAGAGGATGAAAGACAATGGACAGGTAACCCATCGCATGCCATAATATCAGCCACGTCAGCTAAACACAAGGTAGCCTGTGACAAAAGAGCTATGTTGACTGTTTCAGTGGCTTGAGGGTGTCCATTTCAGTTCTATAAAGTCATGGTTTGAATTAAAGCAAATAGTTAATGGAGGTAATTTGGTTTATTTTTTTTCATTCCTGTATGTAACACACGCGCAAAATTAATTCAGCCACTAGACTGTCTGATAAGGAGATCAAACAAATTGCACGAGCTACCAACCGATGATTATTACAGCCAGTGGTACCCCTGTTTCGTGGTCAGCCATTGGCACATGTTACGTGTGTTTATTGCGAACAATTTGACATTTGATCTCGTCTCGTTTCATGGTAGTTGATAATAAACCTTAGATGATTATAGTAACTTACTGTATCTTTCCGTCATAAAGCCAAGTCACAGGATCAGTCATTTTCTAGCGGGAAATAAAGTATACTAGTAAATAACGTTGGCTAAAACCAAGAAACAATATGCATTCCGTTGGTTCATATCGTCACGGCGATGGTAGCGTCTGCGCGGAAAGGCTAAGCGCGGTCCCCCTCCCTCAATTTTCCTTTTTCGGCACCGCATTACTTTCCTATTTTAGTAATTTTATGCACCTAAAGTTTGTACACCTTAAATTTACACATATAAAATTTAGAGAAGTCAAAAGTTTATATATCCGATTTAAATTTGAATTTGAATTCACCTCAAATTTACACATATAAAATTTAGAGACCTAAAGTTTATAAGTCAAAAGTTTATATATCCGATTCAAATTTGAATTTGAATTCAAATATTTTTTATATATAGTATTTATATACATCTAAAATTTATATACCCAAAGTTTACAAGTCAAAAGTTTATATATCCGATTCAAATTTGAATTTGAAGTCACCTCAAATTTACACATATAAAGTTTAGAGACCTAAAGTTTATAAGTCAAAAGTTTATATATTCGATTCAAATTTGAATTTGAATTCAAATATTTTTTATATATAGTATTTATATACATCTAAAGTTTATACAACTAAAGTTTATAGACCCAAAGTTTATTAGACAAAAGTTTATATATCCGTTTAAAATTTGAATTTGAATTATATCCAATTCAAATTTGAATTTGAATTCAAATATTTTCTTTATATATGTCGAGGGAAGACCCTCAATAGCGGGGAGTCGTGAGACCCCCCTTTCGTGAGTTCGGCCGGGGGCGGAGGCTCGTCTCTCGTTAGTCGCTTGCTCGTCCCTACGACTCTCAAGAATGAATGCACGTAGTCGGATTATACAGGTTCGGGCCGCTATCGAGCGTAACACCCTACTCCTGTGTTTGGGATTATGGATGAGTTTTACAAGGGTTTCTTTTCTCCAGAGAGCGCACTTGCTTCCTCTCTTCTGGAGTTCGGGTTTTCTTTTTTTTTTTTGGCCCCCCCCCCCTCCTTTTTTTTCTCGGTGGGCAGGGTCCTCCTTTTATAGCTTAAGGGGATACCACATATGCCACCTCTACTTACCCTCCATTGGGGGGGGACCCCACTCCACCTTTTTGGGTTTCAAACTGTGCCTTCTCTCGGAAGCTAAACAATAACCGATTCTTGCGCGAAACCCAGCGCCGTCCCCCGCCTGACACGGGGGTCAGCCCTGTCATTCCCTTATAAATGAACGATGACATGCAACAGCCCTTCCTCGAGTAGCGCCCGGATGTGTAGAGTCATACCCACCCCCACTCCGTCGGGGACAAGGGCGACGTGAGGACATGATTGCCTTATCCATCGGATGGGACGGAGACGGGCCGGTCACAGACCGATCATACCCGATGGATAGGGGTTAGCTAGGCGCGCCGCACGTCTGTCCTGACCACATTAAATGCGGTGAGGGACAGTTGGGGCGTCGCACATTTATGGCTGTTCAGCCTGCGCTCCCTTCTTGCTCTCTCTCTCTGCCGCGCGGCAGCCGGGCGAGGGCCTCGGGGCGAAGCCGCGGGAGAGCCCGAGGGGGGCCAACCTGTGGAGTCACGTGGCCGGAGGGAAAATAATTCCCCTTTACTCCACATACCCCCGGACCCATATCTCCGATAATATAGTATTTCTATATACATCTAAAGTTTATACATCTAAAGTTTATAGATCCAAAGTTCATAGGTCAAAATTTTACATACCCGATTTAAATTTGAATTTGAATTTGTTTTTTTCTTTCAAACTAATTTTTTGATTTTGTTATCAAAACCAATCTAAACACACGTGTACGGGAAGAAGAAACTAACTACACCAATCTAAACAAACTAAGCCGTTGCACATGAGAATGTAAACTGATCGTGCGCGGTGATCCTACGCGATCACCCGCGCATTAGGCGGCCCCCTCCACACGCAGCTTTCCCTCGCCTTGTCCGCGCCCGCGACCGGGTCGATCCGGAAGCCAGCGCTACGTGCGGTGCCCGGCCCGTCGGATGCGCGCGCGGGGGCGCGGTGCCGGCGCGGCTAGAGATGACGAGGAAAACCGCGTGCGTTGCCAACTCCTAGTTGGCGATTGATCGCCAGGAGCGATCGGTTTTCCCTCTCCTCCACGTTTTTTTTGCATCGCATTATTTTCCTATTTTAGTAAATTTATACACTTAAAGTTTATACACATCAAGTTTACACATTTAAAGTTTATAGACCCAAAGTTTATAAATCAAAAGTTTTTATATCCGATTCAAATTTGAATTTGAATTCAAATATTTTTTATATATAGTATTTATATACATATAAAGTTTATACACCTAAAGTTTATAGACCTAAAGTTTATAGACCCAAAGTTTATAAGTCAAAACTTTATATACCCGATTCAAATTTGAATTTGAATTATATCCGATTCAAATTTGAATTTGAATTCATTTTTTTTATATATAGTATTTTATACATCTAAAGTTTATACACCTAAAGTTTATAGACCCAAAGTTTATAAGTCAAAAGTTTACATACCCGATTCAAATTTGAATTTGAATTCGAATATTACTTTATAGACTCAAAGTTTATAAATCAAAAGTTTACATACCCGTTTCAAATTTAAATTTGAATTCAAATATTTTTTATATATAGTATTTCTATACATAAATTTTTCTAACTTTGTTTTTTTATTTTTTAAAAATTTATAGTGCAGTACAAAGAGAGGAAACTCTAATGAGCGATCGATCGCCCAGGCATTCGGCTAGCGATCGGCTCCCCCTCCCTCCCTCCACCTTGTTTCTTTTTTTGGCACCGTATTACTTCCTTTTTTAGTAAATTTATGCACTTAAAGTTTATACACATCAAGTTTACACATTTAAAGTTTAGAGACCAAAAGTTTATAAGTCAAAAGTTTATATATCTGATTCAAATTTGAATTTGAATCCAAATATTTTTTTATATATAGTATTTTTATACATCTAAAGTTTATAGATCTAAAGTTTATACATCTAAAGTTTATAACCTAAAGTTTATAAGTCAAAAGTTTATATACCCGTTTTAAATTTGAATTTAAATTATATCTAATTCAAATTCAAATTCAAATTTGAATTTAAATATTTTCTATATATAGTATTTCTATACCTCTAAAGTTTATACCCCTAAAGTTTATAGATCCAAAATTTATAAGTCAAAAATTTACATACCCAATTCAAATTTTTTATATATAGTATTTCTATACATATATTTTTCTAACTTTTGTTTTTTTTAAATTTTTGGGAAGAAGGGAAGGAGGAAAGGTGAGAAGAGGAGGAATCGGATATAGGGGGAGGGGAGTGCGGGTCATCGCTGCGCATTAGCAGTACCCCACCCGCGTCTGCGTCTACGTGACGCGCGTGTGATCACCGACCGCATTAGCAAGGCGGGCGTGTAGACCGTTGGAGCGAGCACGCCACTGCAGCACTTCGGCAAGCGCGTCCCTTCTTCTGGTAGTCGTCCATTGTCCCCCGCAACAGGGAGACGGACGCGGAGACACAGCGAAGCAAGTGCGAGCGGCCAACTTTTCGGCGTGGCGGTGGTGGTGCGGGTCCTGATTAGTTCTTCCGCTCTTCCAGCTCGTTCGTTTCAGAAACCGAAAAGATTCGGGTTCAGCTACGGCCACGGAGAAGGTAACGTCCGGCTACGGTCGGTACATTTTGGAGTTTGGGTTTTTGGCCTTGGCCGGCGATCGATGTACCAGCTCAATGTCGCTGGTCGCTGCTAGCCAGTTTAAAGTATAGGTGCAGGCGCGGAGCAAAACAATGCGACCGCCGTCCATCTGGCACGTGATTCCTGGCCGGACGATATCGACTCAACACCTGGCTTTACAATAAGACAAAGGGTTACAGCTAGTGCTGTCAACATGTGGCCTTGGATGAACTCTCCCTCGGCCTATACAGGAGTCCAGCTTGCGTCCCAGAGACAGTGATATTACTGTTGCTGTGGCTCAGAGCTTAACCTCCCGGTCGCCCTGTTAAATTTCAGATCTTTTTGAGGTAGGGAGGGTTTTACAAGGACCTACGCGTTTTCCATGTCCATCGGATCATGTAACGGACGGCCCCGATCGCGGAACCCCCGCCGCGTCAGTTCCGCGTCCCCGCAGGCCGCAGCCAACAACGAAAGCAAGCGGAGAAAATGCATGCGACAGCTACCCTTCCCCAGTCACGCGGCGGCGGAGGCGGCGCCCGCGCGGTTTCCGCCTCGCCTCCGCTCCGCTCCTTTCCTTCCTCCACAGCAACAACGCGTCTTCCCTTCCCTTCCCTTCCATTCTCTTCTCTTCCCACCCAACGACCCATCCCAAGTACCCAACCATGAGCCGTCCTCCCTCGTCCGGCGCCCGACCAAGTAAACAACCAACCCCCAACCCGGCCAGGTCAAACGCACGCCACGCGACGCGACGCAGCCCAGCTCAACGATAAGCTCAACCCATCGATTCCGCTAAGTCAATCCTACCGCCTCGCCTCATCTCCGTCACTTTCCATTTCGCCGCAGCGATGGCTCCGGCTCCGTCTCCGACTCCTCTCCCCCTATTCCTCCTCCTCCTCCTCCTCGTCGGCGTCGCCCCGCTCGCCGCGGCGCAGGGGCAGAACATCCAGACGAGGTTCCCGTCCACCCGGACGCCGGCCTTCGCCACGCCGCCGCCGATCACCTCGCCGTCTCCGTCCCCCGGCACGCCTACGGCCACCCCGTCGTCGTCGCCGCCGTCGTCGTCGGGGAAGCGGAGCGACATCGCCGTGGCCGTGGTGAGCACGGCGCTGAGCAGCTTCGCGGTGTCGGGCCTCGCCTTCTTCCTGTTCCTCCGGCACGGGAAGAAGAGGGAGCTCACCGAAGCGGGCGGGGCCGGGCAGCATTATGGTGGAGCGCAGGGCGGCGCGCTCACCGGGAAGCGGCCGGAGAGGGAGCCGAAGCGGCCGGCGCGGGGCAACATGGTGGACGAGAACGGCCTCGACGCGATATACTGGCGGGAGTTCGAGAAGGAGGGCGACGGCGGGAGGGGGAGGAAGCCCCCGGCGAGCCGGCGTCCACCGCAGCCGCCGCCGCCCCGGCCGTACCGCGCGGAGAGGAGGCAGGATGCCCACGAGTCGTCGGCTCCGTCGCCGCCGCGGTCGAGGAAGAACAGGATAGATCAGGAGCCGCTCATACCGAGGGGCTCCCTCGACTCCGCGTCCGCTGAGTTTGACGAGTCGCTGTACGCGCCCAGCGCCGGCTCCACCTCGTCCTTCTCTGTGGCCGCCGCCGAGGCGTACGCGCGGCCACCGTCGACGCCGGCGATCACCGCCGTCAGCTCGGTACCCCGCTCGTCCCCATCTCCGGCACCAGCCCCTGCCGCCCGACCAGCCTCACCATCTCCATCGCTGCCACTGCCGCCTGGAAGGGAAAGCCCATCACGACCGCAATCTATCGCCGCCGCCGCCGTCGCGTCACCCGCGCCGCCGCCACCGCCACCGCCCAAACCAGCAGCCGCGGCGCCACCCCCACCGCCGCCGCCTAAAGCCGCACCTCCGCCACCACCTCCCAAAGGCCCGCCTCCGCCGCCACCTGCCAAAGGCCCACCTCCGCCGCCACCGCCCAAAGGCCCGTCCCCGCCGCCGCCGCCTCCTCCGGGAGGAAAGAAAGGTGGGCCGCCTCCACCGCCGCCGAAGGGAGGCGCGTCGAGGCCGCCGGCGGCGCCGGGCGTCCCAACCGGTTCCGCGGATCAGCAGGCGAAGCTGAAGCCGCTGCATTGGGACAAGGTCAATGTGGCGGCCACCGATCACTCCATGGTGTGGGACAATATCACCGGCGGCTCATTCAAGTAAGCTCCTCTTCTCATTTTCATTTCTGTGTACTTTTTAGTACTCCTGAACTGAAAGAATACGGTAGTATAGTACTATCGCCGTAGGTACAGATGTTAATTATCTTTAGGTGCTTCTTGTGCATACTGCTAGTGTGAATGTTTATTACTCCTAGTTGGTAGGAGCAGAGTACTCTACTATTCAGCTGAACATACAGAGTACAAAGTTGCACTTCAGATAGGAATGTCATACAGATCAACCAAGGCATAAACCTAGGATATTTCACTTGCATTTTTAGTTGTCACTGTGCAGAATGGCGCAGTTGGCATGAAAAGGTTTGATCTCAGATCGTGCAAAGCAGGTGCACATTCTTAGATGGGATCACAGACTAGTATAGCGTAGTTTCATGTCGCCTTTTCGGTGGAATCACGTCGCGTCGTCGCAGCATCATCGGAAGGGCGCCCAAATCCTGCTGCCTTTTCTGTGCGCGTATGCTCTTTCTGGAGGCGCTTTACATTTTCTGTTGATTTTCTGTTGATTAAGGGCGCTTTACATACAAAGCCACGAGCCCGCGACAGGGACGGATGGCTGCTTTTGGTTTTATCTGATGGGCGTGACTTCTTTTGGCTTACATGGGCAAGGGGAATGGGTACACGGGATTTCGTGGAACAAGTATACGAGTTGGCGTAGCAGTGTAGCATGCTTTCTCATTGAACAGGAAAAGGAACATTTCTAAGCTTGACATACTCAAATATAGTTGTTTGGTACTACAAGATTAGCTTTTTAAATCATAGTACTCCTTTCTTTTGAACTACTATGTCTTCTTAGGTAAAATTGCTCTAGTAGACACTTTCTAGTCGAAATCATGGTGCATGCTGGGAAATTATGGTTTAGTCATTCCATGAGGTGAACAAGGTCAATCTATAATAAATCTTGATGGGGACGGGAATTCACTTTGGCCTCATTAGAAAACAATGATAGGAATTCAGTAAAAGGATGTGAACGCAGGACACATTCAACTTAGGCAAGACAGGCACCCTTTGTCTTTGTCCGCTTGCGCCACTGGACAATCACCTGCCAATTGCCATGAGAGTCCCTCCAAAAGATAAGGGATTCATAGCCAAATGAATATAGGCATGGCCCATATTGATAATGGATACTACAGTATGTAAATTTACTTTTTTTTATATGGCTTGAATGTGATGCTATTGTTTGAAAAAACTGATTACCGGTGTTTCTCAATCTTTTTACTCATCTGAACAATTCTAACTAAGTTATTTTGTTCTGTTTCTAGCTTGGATGAAGGCATCATCGAGGCACTGTTTGGCACCGCCGCGGTAAACCGCAAGACAAAGCCTGCAGACTCCAAGGATGCCTCTGGTGGCAGCACCTCAGCTGGCCTCGGACGCTCGAACTCGCCAGAGCAAATATTCTTGCTTGAGCCACGCAAGTCGCACAACATTTCCATCATCCTCCGGTCCCTCACCGTGGGGCGAGAGGAAATCATTGACGCCCTCCTAAACGGCCATACCGAGCTCAGCACGGAGGTCCTTGAGAAGCTGTCTCGGCTCAACATCTCCAAGGAAGAGGAGAACACACTTCTGAAGTTCTCTGGGAACCCTGACAGGCTTGCTCCAGCGGAGTTCTTCCTACTCCGGCTCCTCCTTGATGTGCCCAGCCCATTTGCACGCGTCAATGCACTGCTTTTCAAGGCAAACTATGCTGCTGAGGTTGCACAGCTCAAGCAGTCACTCCGGACTCTTGAGATGGCAAGCCAGGAGCTGAGGACAAAGGGGCTGTTCTTCAAACTGCTCGAGGCTGTGCTCAAGGCAGGCAATCGGATGAATGCTGGGACAGCACGCGGTAATGCACAGGCCTTCAACCTTACTGCACTCCGCAAGCTTTCTGATGTGAAGAGCACAGACGGGAGCACCACCTTGCTCCACTTTGTCATTGAGGAGGTTGTGCGTTCAGAGGGGAAGCGTCTAGCCATCAACCGCAACTACAGTCTTCGACGCTCTGGCAGCCTTGCCAAGAGCACCGATGGTGGCAACCCAGCAGCAAGCTCCACAAGTCAGGGTCCATCACGGGAGGAGAGGCAAAATGAATACCTGAACCTCGGGCTACCGATTGTTGGAGGTCTCAGCACTGAGTTTGCCAATGTGAAGAAGGCGGCACTGGTGGACTATGACACTGTTGTCAACGAGTGCGCAATTCTGGGCAACCGGCTGGCAGGTACCAAGAAGCTCTTGGAGACCTATGGGGACGATGGATTCGCAAGAGGGTTGCGAGGATTTGTGAAGGCTGCAGAACAAGAACTGAATGAACTAAAAGGAAACCAGGAGAAAGTGCTTGAACTGGTGCAGCGGACAACGGAGTATTACCATACTGGTGCCACCAAGGACAAGAATGCACATCCCCTCCAGCTGTTCATCATAGTTAGGGACTTCCTGGGGATGGTTGATCAGGCATGTGTAGACATCAAGAGGAAATTGCAGCAGCAAAAGAAGCCAACACCACCACCGTCATCATCACAACCGGCGGCCCCAGCGGCCACAACCAAGGGGGCAGCTGATGACGCACCAGCACCGGCTCAGAAACCACCGGAAGAGGTAGATAGCAAAAGGAAGAGGGTCATGCCAAGATTCCCCAACTTGCCGGCACATTTTATGAAGGACAATGCAGACTCTGATTCAAGTAGTGACGAGGAATAGAATGAATGGAGACGTGTAACTGTAAATGATGATTGTTTGCATTGGTTGTTTTTTGGAGGTATAGGTTAGAAGCAGACTGTACATAATACATTATTTGTGTTGGTTATTTTCTCCATTGCTTCATATAAGTAGTATAAGAACGTGGATAGATTTTTGTTTAGAAACTTGTACAAAATTTGATACAAGGATATCAAGAATCGCTTGGAAAATGATCTCTGTCAATTTGATAACTGCATGTGCATGATACAACAAAGAATTGCCTACCTAAAACAAATGGTCAATGTGGTACTTACAGATTTCACATTCAATGTGGTACTTACAGATTTCACATTCAATGTGGTACTTACAGATTTCACATACTTTCAGCCAGCAAGCTCACTTATCGGTACCCGGTCCATGATGTTGCAAGCAATTTGTGCGTTCTTTTGGAGAACCGGATCTATATCTGGCAATTTTGGAATCTGGAACAATACTAACGAGTGTTATGTATTGTCATGCTAATCATAATAGTGCCATCAAGCTGATAGTACACTGGAAATATCAGGTCAAGATAATATACCTGGGCTAGTAAATCAATCGTGCGTCTGAGCAGACGGGCTAAATCTCCATCATCCATTGCCGAGTCCATCATTATCTCCCTCCAGGTCAACCCTGATGCCCAGGCTTCAACCATCCCAGCAAACTGGGCATCTATTTCGCAGGGTATCTGTATGTGGAGGGACCGGTGATAACTAAGAAGGGGATTGAATTTATTGATTAGAGAACACAGAACAGGAACATCGTCTTCCAAACCTTTACACTGTGCTTCTCTTGGAGATCGACGAGTGAGTTTCTCTGCTCTTCTAAGTAGTTTATAACACCAGTAACAACAGAAGATGGTTCATATACATAACTTCAAGGCGACAAATAGTTAGCATGGAGTCTATGACATGTAGGGAAAGGTGCTAAGAAAGTGTGGCAAGCCATAACTATGACAATAAACCAAACACAAGACTAAGAAGATGTGGGCGTGTGGCAACCTAAAGTGCGGTGTGGCAAGTTGAAGCATTGAACAAAACAACCCCTAAGAAAACGACACCATGGAGTTCATATTCATTATTCCAAATCTTAGTGTTTCCCCATGGAAATATATTCATAAATCGAGAATTCAGTAAATATTATTCATTGGCACTATAGGCATGTTTGATTTGGTAACAAAATCAACCTTACCAAATTTTTGTGATGCTAAGTTTTGACACAATAATTTTTTATTAGGGAGAAGTATGTTGAAGCATGTTTGGTTTGCCGTCTTAAATTTTTAGAGTGGTGAAAGTCTGAATGTTTCCGGAGCTAACAAATTTATGTGGTTGGAATGTTTATAGTCTATTGATTTGTTGTCTCACCAAAATTCAGACACGCCAAAATTTGGTAAGGCTATGGCACGGAACCAAAGTACCAAACATACCCTATGTATACATGCTCAATATGCCACAGTGCATGTCACCAAATGATTGGATATAGATTTTTATTGGTGAAGCAGATTGATTATTATTCAGAGTTCAATTTACAAACTAATCATGATTGACGTTAATATAAAGTATATCTGAGACAGCCAATGCACTGGTCTGTCCAGCACAGCACATGGGATATATGGTCCAAATGATTTATAGTTACTATATGTGAGTGCATTTCACCAATTTGGGCTGCACTAAGGGTAAGTATAAAGATCTAAACACAATGAAAGTAATTTGAAAGCAGATAAACATAGCAAGCTATAAAAAATGAAGAAACGGGTGGTGCTGTGGAGTAGCATACCTGCTGTTTTTCCAGGGACGAAGTTTGATCCCTTCTGACACTAAACTTCCACATATTGCTGCAAGTTGAGAAGGCTTCAGATCCAAAAGGACCTTGTTCCTAAGAACCATGGCAAGCCAGAGCTCGTTTTCCCCTCGTATGGCTGCTGCCGTCTCACCCAACGGATAGATTACCTGAGTATTGATATCTAATGCTCTAGCCTCTTGTATGACTTTGCTAATCTGCATGCCAATTTAGAGAACCACAACTCAATGTTGGAAAATGTTCAATAATGGCAGGCATAATTAATAGCATAACAATCTGGAATTGTACCCATAACCCATCTATTCAAAAGACTGCGAACACCTGTCTAACCACGATATGTTTTCTGAAGAAATATCGAAATATTATATCAAAACTTACACATAGTAAACCCAGCAAAAAAATTACACATAGTAGGTGCCACTTGTGTTGTAAGATAGATTACTTAGGTTGTGTGCACTGGGCTGGTGAGAGGATTTTAGGAAACCAAGGCACCATAAGTCAGACCAAAGGGACATGGTTGAGAGAAAAGGGAAAGGAGGAGCACCAACAGAGGAGACATCACATTATAAAATGCCTAAATTTGTTGTTTATTCATATGGCTTAGCTAGAGGAAAAATCAACAAAACTATATTTAGGTAAGGAACATGATGTCTGGAACAAATAAAGGCAAATTAACTCATTTTCATTCAAGAGCAATGAATACCACGCTGTTTCATCAACGATGTAACTACAAAAGTTCATCGAACATATAAAGAAGTTGCATGCTCACCTGCAAAAATTCCTTCCAACCAGTTGGTTCAATTTGTCTTATCCGCCGAGTCAAACGACGAGATCTAGCTTCCAAACGCTCGATCTTTTCTTTTGTAAAGTTTCTCATGTCGATGATCTTTTGAAATTCTTTGAAACCCTTAGTACTCCTGATTGTTTTCTTCAATTGTGAAACTTTCTTTCTCTGTTGCTTATGACATTCTACAGCATCTTGATGTTCCTGGGAGAATCGTTCTACCTGTGAAATGTAATTAAAAGAAGTTACAAGCACTAATCCCTAACTTCAGATTTGGAGACAATTTCAATTGTATTAAACAATATACACAGTGGGGAACAAATGGCGCCACATGAAATTCTTACAGGAAATCGTCATTCTTCTGCAGATAACCATATAGAATCTAGAGATAATTCTCAGGAGAACAAGAACGACAGAAAGAAAAGTTCACCTTGTGTTTTTCCTTTTCGGGAGAGAGAAATGGGAACCCAACGTTGGGTATTAGTTAAAAAGATTGATTCTTTGGAATAACGCAAGCAGATAAAACTCCATTGAAGTATCAAATCTAGTTTACATTAACCCTACCAAGTATCAACTATAATTTACATCACCCCTAGCAAAAGACAAATTCACAGGGAAAACAAGGAACAAGTTCAAACCTCATCATCTTCTGAAAGGCTATTAAGCACGGGAACATTGAGACTCCACGACCATGTGTCCAGAGATCCATCCATGCATAACAAAGAACCATATTCTGATTTTGCAATTTTATCCCACATCATATCTTCACGCAAAAGGAGCTGCTTCAGGGTTTCTCTAGGGAGAGGGCCTCCCTCTGCTGAAGGAACAGCAGGTAGACCTGTCTTGTAAACAGCTTTAATCCATTTTTCGGTGAATAGATACCATGAGTTGTCTGAACTCAAGGCTACATAATAAGATGGGTAATATTGCTGTCCTTCATTGTCAACTTTCTGCTTGCCAGCAACAGGAGAATCATTTTCCACCTGCAATAGTATCTAAAATAAGAACAAGGAAAAGGAACAGTACTACAAACAGAGAGATGAAAACTTGTGTGGTTCTGTTCTTAGGGTATATGCAGCAAAAATTTGTAGACAGAAATAGCAAAGACTCAGTACTAGTCCCTTATCATATCTAATAATCAATTAACAGTTACCACCATATTGAAGAGAATAAAAATAATAAGGAAGTAACTGTGTAGCTTTTCCCTTCTGCATTGCTCATGCAAGAGTATACAGCTGATTCACTCACCAAGCTCACAATCTTTTGATCCGCAAATGAACTGAGGCTTCCAATGAAAACAGCAGGAATAGTATGCTGAACTGAATCTTTGTCTTTGTACTGCAAGCACATGAAAGGAAGGTGACCACTTTCAAATTCTTCCAACCGAGTTTTCCATGCCACCATTCTCTCTAGTTCCATCCTTTTTTTCAGTTCATTTCTCATCTGCTTCTCTTCCTAATGAGTAGCCATAATATAAGTGTGTAAAAATACATAATAAGCAACACATTCATCAACATATTAGGAAAACCATTTCTATTATGCACATGATTTTTAGTCCAATTCCCAGAAGCTTTCACGAGCTAAAAATACAAGGGTCTTTAGTATTACCAACTCCGCATACTGGCTTTTTATTAAGTTCATAATAAGAAAAACCTTACACCAGTGTTAGCATGTTAAAAAATCGCATGTCACAATGGAGGCTATTTTTCAAAACTGAAATAAGAATTATCTTTAAAACAAGGACAATAAGTTGAGAATGTATGTCTGCTCAAAGTTACTGTTTAGAGTATGTTTGAAATGCCATGAATTCCAAGGGAAAGTTCTCTATAAAATGCTCAATGAAGCAATGAAACAGTGGGAGTTGATAGCCCATGTGGTTATACATTGATGGAATAAATAAGAAAAAAACAAAAGATGCATTCAAGGAGTGTTTCCTTGTCATAACATTCAGTGACACGTATCTTTGTGCATTATTAAGTGAGAAAGTTATAATCTAAGACCCATTATATGGGTTATTATAACCAGATAAAGCGATCAGTATTACCTTCAATTTCTTTTGAAGAAGGGAAATCTCAGCATAGTCTTCCTCAGATAATTCTTCCCTACACTTTCGGTCAATGGATTCATCTGTAATTTCTGAAGAGAGATATTGTATTTCACTCTGTATTCTTTCAAGCTCTTCTTTAGCAGCAACCATTACATTGCTCCCAACATAGTTACCAAAGCTTTGCTCAACTAACTTTCGAGCTTCTTCTAAAGTTCTTCCAGAACGCTTAACCTTAATATCATCCGATTCTTTCTGATTATGAGTAACTTTTGAGCCCTGCATAGTATATTTTAATGCATGAGATAAAGGGATAATGAACAAAACAGGAAAAATATGATGAAGCATTAAAGTAAGATACATACAGCAAGGAGATTCAAAACCATCCCATATGATGCAGTAAATTGTGAAACAAGTGGCTCAAGTCCAGCAAAGATAACATCGCAACATTCTTCAGGCCCTTCATAAGTAGTCTGAACAAGAACAGAATGCCCAACTGTATCAATCCCTCTTCGTCCAGCACGACCTGCCATCTGGAATAATTCATTTGGGGTTAAGAGCTGGCGCCCAGCGTCAATTCTTTTGCTGAGAGAAGAAATCACAGATGTTCTAGCAGGCATGTTAATCCCTGCTGCAAGGGTTTCTGTTGCAAAGACTACTTTAACAAGGCCACGCTGAAATAATTCTTCAATGAAAGATTTCCACAGTGGCAAGCAACCAGCATGATGGGCAGCAACTCCTCGTAAGAGTCCTTTCACAGCACTTTCCCGGATAGCATCAGGGTATTGCATCCTGAACCTCTTAAGTTCCAGCTCAACTTCACTAGCCTCGCAATCATGCAGAAGTCTACAATCTTCAAGATATTCAACAGCTGCATCACACCCTCTTCTACTAAAAATAAACCAAATAGCTGGAAGCATGTCATTTTCCCAAAGTTGTGATAAAGTATCACGTATTAATGGAACCTGCATTGCAAAAGGCAAACAAGAAATGACAATCATTAGTCCTAACAAAAATATATATATGACCACGTGAAAATTTAAAGTTATTGTGCAAGGATACACATCTTAAAGAGTTTAAAAGAGATTGTGGTTCATACTTGAGACCGGCGCATATTGGTGAGCTCATGCTTTGACAACTGAACCTGTTTTGAGATGTCCAAGGGGCTTCTGTTACCTTGTTCATTTTTAGTTGTTCTAAGCTTCCTCTTTCCTTTCACATAATAGAATTCACTTTTTGGAGAAGATAGGTTCTGGAAGTGAGACATTCGCAATTTCCTGTATGGATTGAATGCAAAAGATATATATGATTTGGCCCAAGTACACCAGAACCAATGTGCATGGACACAAAAACAATTGCACCATCATGGAAAATAAGTAATGAATATTTCTATGCACATAAATTAACAAATGATCTGAAGTATATAATGCCAAGTTGCCAACAAGAACAAGGAAAAACCTATTCATTTTCTTTCCTTTCCCATCAAGAAGTGGTACAAGTGCAAACTTCTTTGAGAAGTGCCAAGTAAGTGGAACTGGTCGTTTGTGTGATGTCACCAACTCTGTTTTACCGTGGATCTGTGAAGGAACAGACTTCATAATAGTTCCGCACATACAAAATAGCACCAATACTTAAAAGAAATAAAGGGATTCCAAAATGTATGGGTACACAACTTTGAATATGGATGAGCACACAGATGGTCATAACATATGCATGAATATGGGTATGTGCATGTTTGAGCATGTTTTCTTATACCAATCGCCATAATTTATTTTAATCATTTTAATCCTATTTCATTGTATAAGAAAATCCAAACAACAATTCTAAAGTAGGAAGAGAGAAATTCTTACACCTGTCAATCTGTCATACTGCTGGAAGTCCAAAAGAAATGCAATACAGTTTATTAACATAGTTGCAGAAAGCATAACGGCAAAGAAAATTAAGATGATGCAAAAGAGACGTCAAAAGTACAATTACCTGACCAATCCAGCCAGCTAATTCATCAGGATTTGCAACAGTGGCTGATAAGCATATAAGCTGGACTTCCTTTGGACAATATATCACCTAAAGATATAAAAAAATGTTTATTTAATTAAAATGACCAATATGACACACATGATGAATTAGAGAGTAATGAGATAGCATACAGTTTCTTCCCAAACAGTGCCACGTGAAATGTCACTTAAGTAATGGACTTCGTCCAAAACAATAACATCAACTTGAAATAATCTACCTTCTGATGCTGCCATACCGACACTGCAGTCCAAATACAAGACATCATTTTTCTTTCAATAGAAACAGGACAGGCAACATCAGTTGCGATCTGTAATTAACTACCATTATAGGCTGAATCTCAGAGAAAAACTTCCTTGGGAAACTATATAGGTGGCTGTAATAAAAATCATAGATATTCTTAAACACGCATGCATGACTTGGGAGACATTGCCCATGGATATACATAGTGTTGAATTATAGTATACTGTGAACAGTCCCTGTCACGGAATGCATCACTAGCGACAGTGGAAGAGGCAGACTGCCAAATTCTGCAGGGTGAATTACTCGTAGCAGTACACACAAATCACACTATATATCCTTCTTCTGTGAAATACCTTTGATACAGCATGTTACGCAGAATCTCTGTTGTCATTATCAGGATCTGAGCATCTTTGTTAATAGCAGAATCTCCTGTAAGAAGACCAACATTATGATCACCAAACGTATTCCTGAAATAATTTACAGCAGCGATGTGTCAAAATAAATCTACTAATCAGAAACTGGCCACCTAGGAAAAATATCTAATAATACAACAGCACAACTGATCTGAAGTTCTCCAACTTGCCACAAGTTCAACAGAAATCAATCATGTTTATGCTAAAGTGAACCAGCATTGCATAAACTTTCAGCTTTCAACTGTCCAGCACGTAACTTTGAAAGAGAAAAGGTAAGTACATTTACCTGTTTTTTGCTTCTTATGACAGTCAAGGAATATGGTAAAATTTAAGTTGGCCATTTCAGTATTTGCCACAATGTTGCTAAGTATAAAGGAGAGCAACTTCCAAGGTTGTGTATTGATTGGGGGCATGGGCATGCTATTTAAGATAAAAACAACTAATGTGACATGAAAAGTATATCTTACAGATTTTACTCGTTAACTGAAAAGAGGGGCATACAAAAGTAGCATTTTACCGGAAATCACGGAACTTCTGATTAGATAAGGCCTTTAACGGTGTTGTGTAGAAGAGGCGTCTTCCTCTAGCGACTGTTGCAACAGCTGCAGCTTCTGCAATTAGTGTCTTCCCACTACTTGTAGGTGCAGAAACTACGACAGATGAGCCTCTCAAAAATGCTTGTATAGCCAAGCGCTGAGAGAAGACAGGAAACAGGTAAGAAAATGAAAAGTAGTGGGTTGTACAACATGAGGTGACACTCAGGACAACAAGTAGCAAGTTGCTAGAATTTGGAAAAAACTGTTCAATATCCGGTGACCTCGTGCAACATAAAAGATTAGCATCAATTTTCCAAATGTCTTCCTGTTACCAATGGTGAAGAGGTAGATTTGTTGGCAGAAAACCAAAGCTACCCTTTTATCCCTTCCTGTTTTAGTACCCAATGGATATTCTAACATTTTTAAAATCAATTTTAACACAAACATTTCAACAGCAGTAGAATACTACAAGTAGAGAGCACTAGAGCGTCGCTAATAATCAAGACATGGAAATCTTTGTTTTATCTGTTGTGCAAAACAGCTTTACAAGTAGCTCATAAATAATATCATCAAACCAGACCAATGATAAGACACAATGTATAACAGGAATCGACCACAATCCTTTTGCGTATTCCAGAAAAAAGGAATCGACCACAATCCTACCATCTAAATAAACGCACAAACAAGGACTCAGATAAACCTCAATTGCATACGACAGTGGATTACTAGCCAGTACAGAAAATTTATTTACAACGAATCATGACTTTACTTGTTAGTTCCACGATACCATATACACCAGAACTACTTATACCAATCATCACTCAAACGAGACAGCCCCCCCCCCCCCCCCCGGGGGAAATGGCCAGAATCCGATTTCACCGTTGCAGAGTCGTCAGATATCTCCAATGTAGCCTCAAACAGGAGAAACCTACACGGAACTTAACATATACAGAGCAACATATCGCTGCTAGCTCAAATCCCAACCGTTTCAGCGCCCCAAGCAATCAAACGCACCACGTAAAATCCAGAGCCATTACCCACTCTATACGCTCATAATTAGTTCATCAGGATTAGAAACTACTCCACCTGAAACTTGTCAATGGGGAAGTCGTAGATCCCCGCGAGCTCGTTGTAGTCGATGATATCCTCCCCGAACTCCCGCACCTCGGCGACCAGCTTCCCCACCCGCTGCGACTTGTACTCCTCCGACCGCCGCCTCCGCGCAGCGGTCCCCTCCCGCCCACCCTCCTCCTCCTCCAACTCCTCCACCCCATCATCCCCTTCCTCCTCCTCCTCCTCCTCACCGCCGCTCTCCTCGTCCAGCTCCTCGTCGTCGTCGTCGTCGTACTCCTCGTCCACGTCCGCGTCGTCGCGGATGTCTATCTCTTCGTCATCCTCCTCGTCCTCGTCGTCGTCGGAGACGGGGGCAGCGGCGCGGGAAGGGGAGCGCGCGGATGGGAGGCGGAGCGGGCCGGCGCGGGCTTGGGCTTGGGCTTGGGCTGGGTGGGAGGGGAGGAGGAGAGGAGCGGGTGGGGTGTGGGGGAGCGCGTGGCGGGAGGCGGAGGAGAGTGGGAGGAAGAGGAGGAAGTGGGGGGCGAGGCAGTGCATGGCGGGAGGGTGTGGTGGTTCTCGCGCGGGGGGGAGAGGCGGGGAGGAAGACGAGATAATGGCATAAATGCTCGGATTTTTGTTTTCGTAATTCCGTACGGTGGGGCGGGAATTTGGAATACGCCAACGCAGTGGGTTTACGCCTTTACAGTCTAGCAGGACTGTAGGAGGCGGTATCCATACTATTTTTTATTATAAAAATTAAGAATGTTTTTGTTAGTACTTTGGTACGTCATCCATGTATAAATCGGTTTTTAAGCTCGTTCGCTTTTAGAAATACATATCTATATTTGAGTCGGGTTTTAAATTCGTTCGCTCTTGGAAATACATATATGTATTTGTGTCGGGTTTTAAGTTCGCTCGTTTTTGAAAATACAAAATGAGTCGCATAAGGAATCTTTTTTAAAAAAACTAGCATGCTAACTTGAGCTGATCAGACTCCTAATTGCAACTCATGTTTTTCTAGAAAAATATATATCCAAGCGAATTCTCATGGTGAATTTCACATTAACTAAACTATATAATAATAAGATTAAAATAAATTTCACCCGTTGCAACGCACGGACATTTTTTCTAGTTTTTTAAAAAATAAAACTTGCTCACAACACGCGTATCATCACCCCCATGAATGGACATACTATCTCTATGAGCTCCTCCGAAATACCATGGTCATCTCATTGTCGACGGATGCATTGCTTATCACTGAAAAAAATAATTAGTCGTTAATGCAATTACATTTTGAACTTGAACTCGAGTAAACATGTTCCACCATAAGTTACTCAATTAGTTGAGTTACACTTGATTTGTATCATAGGAATAAAAAAAATATATATTTTTTAAAAAATATTTTTAGAGATATGAAATACGTAAACAACAATCAAATAAAAACAATCTCTCAGTAGTTGATGAGGTTAAGAATTCATCACCGGCCTTTGTCGCTTCGAAAGCAAATGTTAAAAGAGACATATTCGTAGGTATTTATATGTAGTTTGATGCGTCTGTTTCTTCTATATAGCTTATGCTTCGAAATTCTTCCATAAAGTTGGAGTTGTATCAAACACTTCTGAAATCCTCAGGATAAGAGTGAGACTACCACTCTACTTTAAAAAACTAAACTACAAGGATAAAGTGGTGTTTAATAAAAATTAAACACCGACTCTAGTTTGAGCGCTAATCGCTTTATTTTAAATTGTGCTAGCTTAAAAAGAAGTTCTCCTGGGCCAAGTGCTCGAGTAGTAGTAAACTGGGCTCCACCAACAAATGGACAGCTTACACCTAGCCCAAGGCCCCAAGCTAAGGCCCAAGATGACTGAACATTCTCAGGCCCACCCACTCCCATACCCACAGTCGCAGCGGCAGCACTGCAGCCTGCAGCAGAAGCCAGATCTGAATTGGAGCCAGCCAAACCCGACGTGGACGAACCGAACAAACGTTCGCACCCCCCACCGCACCGGGTGACTGGTCCCGTCACTTGAAAAGCACGGAGGCAACGACCGACTCCCTCCTCCCCCCTCCCCGTCTCAAATTTGCACCACCCCCAAGGCCAACACCCACACACCCCCCCGACTCGCCTCGCGGATTCCAAAAGTCCGCCTCCAATTTCCCCGCACTCCCCGAATCCCCCCAACCACATCACATCACACCAGACGCCACCACGCCCCCCGAGATCTCTCCCACCCCCGACCAGCCTCGAGATCCCAGCGCCCATGTCGTCGTCGGCCATGGAGGCCATGGACGAGCTCGTCCAGCTCGCCGAGTCCATGCGCCAGGCCGCCTCCCTCCTGGCCGACGACGACCCCTCCGACGAGGCCAGCCCGCGCCGCCCCTCCACCTTCCTCAACGCCGTCGCGCTCGGCAACGTCGTAAGTGTTTTGCTTCCACCGGAGCCGCCGCCGCCGCCGCCCGCGGCAGCTCCCCCTCTCTCCTCCGCCCGATCTGACTCGATCCGGCTTGTTGTTGTTCCGTGCAGGGCGCCGGCAAGTCGGCCGTGCTCAACAGCCTCATCGGCCACCCCGTGCTGGTGAGTGTGCTTCGGGTTTAGCTCGCTTCTCTCTCTTCTGCTTTTGTGGCATTCGGTTTTTGTGAAGCTTTGGGTGGTGGTTGCTGTGTGGTGATGCAGCCGACGGGTGAGAACGGGGCGACGCGGGCGCCGATAGTGGTCGACCTGCAGAGGGATCCGGGGCTGAGCAGCAAATCCATCGTCCTGCAGATCGACAGCAAGTCGCAGCAGGTGTCGGCAAGTGAGTGAGATCTTCCCTTGGCTAGCTGGATCTGGCAATGGGCGCCGGCTGGTTGGTGTGCTGAGTTTGGTGGCCCTTTCTGGTGGCGTTGTGGCGTGCAGGTGCTCTCCGCCATTCGCTGCAGGACAGGCTGAGCAAGGGGGCGTCCGGTGGATCAGGGAAAGGCCGAAACGATGAGATTTACCTCAAGCTGCGGACAAGTACAGGTTTGTTGCTGGGCTTCACTTTTACTCTTACATTGCACAATGTTGGTAAGCCAGATGTATAGTGAGCATGTGCCATGTGCTGAGTCGTGCTAATGTTTGCGCCACTGCCCATACTGCCCCTGTAATTGTCGGACATTGATGCCTTGTGTATTTTATGTGTTATAGAAAGCTGAAATGGTAAGACAATAAGTGGTTGTAGAAAAACGGTATCAAGAGTGTCTTCTGATACAGTTGTTAGAATGTGCTCTCAGGTTTTTGCAACACTACAACGATTGAGTACCATACTTAGAATAAGCACAATTTTGGATATTGTACTGCTACATGTACAATAATTTCTTCTGTTTGCTTCCCTTTGTTTATATTGGTAATTTTTAGATGATGGAAATGGTTTACATCTCTGGCCTTGGCCGTTAGGCTCACAAGTTTATATTGGTAATGAATTCTCACTTCAGCATCTTTTGTTTTTTTCCAGCTCCTCCAATAAAATTGGTCGATTTGCCTGGCATAGACCAACGAGTTATGGATGATTCAACTGTGAGTATTTGCAGTTTCTTGCTCAATTACACAACGATGATTGAACCGCATGTAGAATAATCCAGACTCCTCATAATTAACATATGAATGTGTTTATGAATTGGATAAACTTATTATCTAATCAATGTATTGGTGGAAAATATTCCCTTTAGAAAAGGTTGGAAGCATCATAGTAATGACATTGTGCATGCACTTTGACTGAGAAGCATTGAATGCCCTCCATGGATATATTAGTTGCTTGCACTTATTACATAAAAGAGCACGAATATCTTAAGTATCTGAACCATGTTTGTTGCATCTTCTCACAAGTGTTGGATATTGACTTTTCTCCACATTTCAGATCAGTGAATATGCTGGACATAATGATGCAATATTGATTGTTGTGATACCAGCAATGCAAGCTGCTGATGTTGCATCATCTCGAGCTCTCAGACTAGCGAAGGATATTGATCCAGATGGTCTGTTATAAAATTCTTATAATCCTGCCCAATAGGCAATTCATACCATTCTCTCCGTAGCAAGTAGAAACTGATGTTTATCCTTGTTCATCTTGTTGTAGGAACCAGAACAATAGGTGTTTTAAGTAAAATTGATCAAGCATCTGCAGATGCAAAAACTGTATCTTGTGTTCAGGCTATCTTGTCTAACAAGGGTGCACCACGAGCAGCAGCTGAAATTGAGTGGGTTGCTCTAATAGGGCAATCTGTCTCAATTGCATCGGCCCAAGCTGGATCAGTTGGTTCTGAGAACTCACTGGAAACTGCCTGGCAGGCTGAAGCGGAGACACTCAAATCCATCCTAACTGGAGCTCCTCGAAGTAAGCTAGGGAGAATTGCTCTCGTGGATACCATTGCTAAGCAGATACGTAAAAGGATGAAAATTCGGCTACCTAACCTTTTGTCCGGGTAAGTGCATTGCCCTTTTTTATTATTTTTATTTTCCTAAATAATTGAACTTTATTTTATTTTTAAAGTAAACTAAGCACAACCCCAACTTTTAAGAAAACTGAAACTTAGATGGTCTTGGAATTTGGATGTCAAAACATCTTTCACATGGAATTTGGATGTCAAAACATCTTTCACATTTCATTTCACTAAGATTTCCCTTCTACAGTATCGTTGTAGTTAAAAGTAAACAATATGCATGTAGCACAAATTGTCCAGGTTCTATGTCGCAATCATATTTCATGTATCTAGATATCCCCTCCGCAGTACCATTATTGGAGCTTGTACCTTCTCTTGTGTTTATGCACCTGTGGAATCAAGTTGTTTTTTTGTCAGCACTTCCAAGCTCCAATTTCCTATTTGACCTAGCTTGGTACATTTAGATGATGTCAAACATGGTTATCTACTCATTTCTTCTGAACTTCTGTGCATTTGGCCAATCTTTTTGCATCTGCAACTACATACTTACAACACACATGCGTCCATGACAAGAGAAATGCCAAGTATAAAAGATGTGTGAACAGTTTCTACTTGGCTACAAAATGTCAAGCTTAAACTACCTTTTAAACTCCAAATTTAAATTTATGTAGTTCATGAACTTTTCCGCGGCATAAATGACCCTTATTTGATCTATCAATGTAATGTTATCATCACACAATGGATCATGGACACTCTGGCCTTCTGTAAAATAAGTTGATTTTAATTTCTTGTTAAATTGCTGATATATGTACCTTGCTACAATTGCAGGCTTCAGGGGAAGTCTCAGATAGTGCAAAATGAACTTGCAAGGTTGGGAGAACAGATGGTATCAAGCGCTGAAGGAACCAGGGCTGTTGCTTTGGAGCTTTGCCGTGAATTCGAAGACAAGTTTCTTGCCCATGTTACTTCTGGTGAGGTTAGTGATAAGCTCAAGTATGGTCTTTATATATACCTTAATTAGTATGTGCCAAATGAAATACCTGATTACAAGGCTGTTATTCAATCAAAAGGGGTCTGGTTGGAAAATTGTTGCAAGCTTTGAGGGGAAGTTTCCAGATAGGATCAAACAGCTTCCTTTGGACAGGCATTTTGATATTAACAATGTCAAAAGGGTAAATTCAAAAGCCCT